GCTGTGACTAAATGAACTGACAATGCAATAAAGACCTAGTGCAAGGAAAATTCATTTTCCTTACTTCGCACCCCTGTTTATCGCATACACAACTGTTCCGGCCAACAATATTCAATAGTGCACCGTTTCCACTCGCGACACTCTCACCGGTCACTGTTCTTGTCAAATGTTATAGCCTCTAGTGGGTTTTGCTATGTGGGGTACAAACAGTTAGGGTTAGGTATTGTCAGAATGAAGAATGGATGGTGCATTGATGTTGGTTGGGGTACATATAGCTAACCCTAAGTTTTGTACCCCCTAAGACAAACCTCACTATAGGCTACAACATTTGACACACCCCCATAGCCTAAGTGAGGGGTGTCTAGCAGAACCAAACGAGTACGGTCACAAGACCAGTCCAAGAAACAAAGCTCAGGGTGGATCACAACGTCACCACACAGTCTGAGCACAAACAACAGTGGCCACAAGGCCAGTCCAAGAAGTAACAGAGATATATAGAAAGCAAAGTAAACAGTACACTCAAGTCTAAGCAACACGAGAACCAGTGTCAACAAGGCCTAACTGCACACAGCACCTCTGGTGGTCACAAGGCGGAAGCGCCTTGGTGAAGATGTCTGCAGTGTTGGCCTCGGACTCCACAAACTCAAAGCGAGCCTGTCCACGCCTCTGCAACTCTCGCAGAAGAAAGTACCTGACGTGAATGTGCTTCACTCTGCTCTCCAGTCGTGGCTCTCGACAAAGGAGAATAGACGCCTTGTTGTCAGTGAACAAGGTCGGTGCAGAGCTCGGCCGCTCACCAAGGTCGGTGAGCAAGAAGGTCAACCAACGCAGCTCCTGTGCCGCCATGGCACCAGCGTAGATCTCAGCCTCAGCTGTAGAGGTCGAGACCGAAGAGGAGCGCGTGGACCGCCAGGAAACAGCTCCAGAACCCAGGCTGAAACAGTACCCCTGAGTAGACCTGTGAGTCTCAGCGTCGTCAGCGTAAGAGGAGTCACAGTGACCAGTAAGTACGACAGACTGCTGCCCTCCAAGAACTAGCCCCACGCCTGACGTCGTCGCTAGGTACTTCGCCACCCTCACAGCTGCTGTCCAGTAAACAGGACGGTGTCTCCCTGGCGCAACAAAGCGCGCAAGAACGCTGAGAGGGAAGGCGAGGTCCGGGCGAGTACAAGTCATCAGGTACATGAGGCAACCCACAAGCTCAGCGTAGGGACCACTAGGCTCGAACGGCTCGTCAGGAAAGGGTCCAGTGAGTCTGTGGTCAACAGCAAGAGGTGTGCGCTGTACTGTGGAGTGCTGAAGCCCGAACCGCTGAAGGACCTGCTGCACCATGTGCGACTGTGAAAGTGTAATGGTGCGAGCAGCTCTGTCCCTGGTGATCTGCAGGCCAAGGTAGTGGCGCAGCTCACCAAGATCAGTGCAGGTGTGTCTCTTCTGCAGTTCGGACTTCACGTGTGCCAAAGCAACCCTGTCAGGGGTGGCGAAAACAAGGTCGTCAACGTAGACCAGAACAAAGAAAGGTGTGGTGCCACGACGAACGAACAGCGACGGGTCAGCAGAAGACGGCTGGAACCCAAGGTCAGACAGGGTAGAACGCAGGGTGTCGTGCCACTCACGAGGAGCCTGACGAAGACCGTAAACCGGTCGCCTCAGCCTCCACTGGGTCCTAGGAGGGAAAGAGCCAGTGAAGGCAGAGGGACGACGCAACCAGACCTCCTCGTGAAGACTGCCCTGAAGGAAAGCAGTGGAGAAGTCGAGAGAGTGTAACTCGTAGTCTCTCTGTGCTGCTACGTGTAGTAACACCCGAAGAGTGGTCATCTTCGGGGTGGGCGCGAAGGTCTGAAAGAAGTCAACTCCCTCGCGCTGACTGAAACCTCTAGCCACGTAGCGCGCCTTGAAGACCGGAGGAGATCCCGGTGGCCGCTTCACCCTGTAGATCCACATGCCGTCGACTACGTTCGCCCCCGGAGGGGGAACCTCATCGACGTAGGTGCCTGTGGATCTGTAGGAGGCCATCTCTGCGTCCATGGCAGCTCTCCACTGAGAGGCTCAAGGCCCTGACACTGCCTCAGCGTAAGTGCGAGAAGTCGGAATGTCAAGGGCGTCGGGGTCACCCTCAGGGGCGAGGAGCATGGCACAGAGATGAGGGGAAGCGGCGGCCAGGAACTCTAGCTCAAACTGCCTGTCCTCTAGGGCGTCACAGCCAAGGGCAGACACACCCCCGACGGCCAGAGGACTGGAAGGAGGAGCAGCCACAAGAGCGGTGGCGAAGTCAAGGCGGCGGGTAGAGGCAAAGTCAGTGACTGCGGCAGTAAGAGCGGACACAGAGGACACAGAGGCACGAGGGTGAGTAACAAGCGAGGCGAGAACACGAGAGAGAAGAGGACGGTACGTGCGGTAGTAGTCAGTGACAGGAGTAGGGAGCGACGCAGTGAGAGCCGACTCAGGAGGAGACGGAAGCACAGACGGAGACGGACGAGGTGGACTAGAACGAAGTAAGGCAGTACGAAGGTCAGTGAAGGGAACAGGAGACGAGGGACGAGCACGAGGGGAGCGACGAGAGGCCCAAGTCTGAGAAGGAGGAGGGGACAACGAAGACTGAGAACGAGGGAAAACAGCGGGAGAGGGGTCAGGAGGAGGAAGCGGAGGACCAGAGACGGGAGGAGAGGGGGAGGAGGAAGGAGAGGGAGAGGGGAGACCAAGGGTCCGAAGACCCGAGACAGGAGGAGGAGACGGCAGCTGCTGCTGCTGCGGCTGCTGCGGCTGCTGCGGCTGCTGCTGCTCCAGCGGCTGCTGCCCCTGCTGCTGCTCCTGCTGCTGCTCCTGCTGCTGTCGCTCCTGCTCCTCGAGCCGCTGCAACTCTCGCTCCTCTCTCTCTAACTCCAGCTGCTCCTCACGAGCACGGCGAACACGAGCCTGGAACCTGGTCGGGTAGGGGTGGGGGGAAGGAGTAGTGTCCGGGGCAGCGGCAGCCCCAGAGTCGACCTCCGAAGCACCAAGCACACCACCCCCAGAGGCAGCACCAACACCAGCTCCAGACCCAGGCTCTCCAGAAACCGAAGGAACACCCTCACCCCCAGACGCAGCACCAGCACCCCCAGACTCCGCACGACCAGTACCAGCCCCCGGAGGAGAAGAGTCCTCTGCAACCCGCGGCTCAGCTCCAACTCCAGCACCCCCAGAACCAGAGACCTGTACAGGGACAGTCGCAGGACCAACCTCCCGAGAGGGAGCACCTACAGGAGGCGGTGAGGAAGACTGTGGGGAGGGAGGCTGTACAGGGGGGGCTACCGAAGGGGGAGGGCTAGCCTGAGACACACCAGACGGGGCTGGACCAGGGGGGGGAGGCTGTACCGGGGGAGCAGGCGGGGGAGCGGCGGTCAGGAAGAGGGGGGGAGGAGGAACCGGGAGACCTCGACTGGGGTACCTGACGTAGTACGGGGTGGACTCCTCGAAACGGACGTCACGGGAGTCAAAGAACCGGTGAGAGGGAGGGTGGTAAAAGGTGAAGTCAGAGGAGTCCTCAGGGAAACCAAGGAAAACACAAGGAACGGCGCGAGGCGAGAGCTTGTCCGCGGAGGTGTCGCGGACAAGAGCCAAGCACCCCCAGACACGAAACCTCGACGCGACACCAGGGGACCCTGTCCAAAGACTGGTCGGTGAAGCCTCCGGCCGAGAGACGCGTGGCCAGAGGTTCAGCTGGTGCGCGGCGTACCTGACTGCGTATGGCCACAGGAAATGGGGGGCACGGGCGTGAGTCAAGGAGGTGCGGGCAATCTCCATGACCAGGCCTATGCGACGCTCAGCAACCCCATTCTGCTGTGGGGACTCCGGAAGCGTCCAGGACTGACGAATGCCCTGTTCGCGACAGAATCCAGCGAGAATGCCGGAGCGAAACTCGCCCCCGCGGTCGGAGTGGAGACAGCTGACACGACGACCACGAGTGTCCTGGGTGGTAAGCAACCACCTGATCAGCGTAGAAGTCACCTCAGACTTCCTCGCCAGGGGGAACACTGTGGTGTAGCGGGAGTAGTCGTCAACGACCACCAAAAAGAAACGCTCACGCTCAGGGCCAGGGCGAGGAGAGGGGCCCCAGACGTCCAAGTGCAGCGTCTCAAAAGGCTCGGTGGCCGGACGAAGGGAGGAGGAGTGAGGGGTGGCACGCAGCCTACCCTCGACGCAAGGACCGCACGGTGGTGCAAGAGACGGCGGCAGCGACGGCAAGACACGCGGGAGACCTAAGACTAGACGCTGACTAGATATAGCACGCAGACGTGGAAGAGAAGGGTGTCCCATCCGGTGGTGCCACAGAACGGTGGGGTGGGCAAGCGACCGACAGGAGCAAGACGCAGCGACTGGACTGGACGCGACAACCTGAGGGGACGGAACCACCTGGTGAGACGCAGGGAGGAGACTAGGGGGAGGGACAGGAACTGGGAGGAGTGGCTGCTGCGACGGCGGCCGCTGTGGCTGCGGCTGCGGCTGCTGCCGCTGCTGCTGCTGCGGCTGCTGCTGCTGCTGCGGCTGCTGCTGCTGCTGCAGTCGCTGCTGAGCGCGCGGGCCAGTGTGAAGAGTGTAGAGACCGGAGCCCGGCTCAGCAGCAAAAGTGGCGAGGGGCTGGTAAGAGTCCCCGTCAACACACACCGCAGTCTCTCCAGAAGGCTCAAACCACACACCCACGTGCTGACTCACGAGGGGTCGCACGCCCACCAAGTTCCGGGAGAACGAGGGGACGTGAAACCCAGTGAGAGACCCAGAAGGAGCAGCCGGACACGGCAAGGTGGTAGTGTGACGCGCAGTGACTGGTCCCGAAGTGGGATCAGCCAGCGCCACAGAAACAGGCGCAGGAAGAGGCGTAAGTGTCGTGCTGTCACGAAAGAAGCAGTGAGAGGCTCCAGAGTCCAGCGTGAACGACAGCGAACCGTCCTCTGAGGTAGCCGCTGGACTAGAGTCTACACAAGAACCTACACTAGCAACAGGCAACTGAGCAAGGCTAGCACCTAAGCTAACAACACCAGAGTAAGCAGAGTCAGAAACACTAGAGTCAACAACAGCATACATAGCATGGGGAGTACCAATCAGATCAACTAACTGCTCAGCAGACATGCCCCACAGAGCGGAGCCGTAGCGCTGAACAAGAGGCAGCCAGTCAGGGGCAGGAGCACCAACCCCGTAGACCAAACGAACCGTGTCAGTGAGCTGAGCAAAGCACTGACCAGGGGGGTGAAACCGGCCACAAGGGTGGCCACGACGAGGGCCTGTCAGAACCTGGTAGGTGCAGGGAGGGTAAGCAGCACCGCGCTGGGTCTGACGCAGCCCCGACCCTGGAGCCAGCTGCTGCCGCTGCTGCTGCTGAGGCTGCTGGGAGGAGAGGGGCTGCTGGTGCTGCAGAAGCTGCTGCTGACGCTGAGCCTGGTACCACGCCGCTGCTCCACCAACCGGGGCAGGAAGTACAGGAGGCGACTGACGAACCCGGGCGTCGCCACCACTAGCAGGCGCAGTGGAGTCACCAGTCACTGCACGAGGCGCCTCTCCAGGCGCTGAACCTCCACCGCCGCCAGGCGCAACGCCACCTCCACTACCTCCGCCTCCACCTCCACTACCACCACCAGAACCGCCTTTCTTGCCACTCCTACCGCGGGACCGCGACGCAGTCGTAACAGCAGCTGCAGTCGCGTCAGTAGCGGCAGTGGCAAGTGAGGCAGTAAAGGTGGGTAACTGCGGGACTGTGCACCCGTGGAAGAGTGGGGGGGGCACAGCACCAGAGGCAGCGGCTACCGAGCGAAGGTTGCTCTCGACGTCCTTGAGTGCAGACTCAAGGACATCGACTGTGAGCTCACTAGGGTGCTTCAGCAGAAGCGCGTCGCGAACGGAGGCAAGGCGGTCAGGGAGGCTAGTGGCGATGAAATAGATAGTAATCGCCATAGGGGGAGGAAGCAGTGCAAGCTGTGCCTCAGTGCAAGCAGCGCGGTAACTAGCGTCGAGCGAGCGGAGGTGAGCGATCAAGTCAGCAGAGCGCTCAAACGAGGCGAGATCAGGAAACAGGAACGGGAGGAAAAGACGGCCAAGAGAGACAGTAGCGGGAGTAGAGTAGCGGGCCTTAATCGCAGTGAGGTACGCAGCAGCGGTGCGAACCTGAGTGAAGTGGACCTCCTCTGACTCAGGGAGGAGGCTGCTGAGTGCGATGCAGGCCGCAGCGTCACGCGACGTCCAAGCCGTCCTGTCAGCGCGCTGACGGGCAAAGCGAGCCGTAGCAGCATCGTCAGGGGCAGGACCTAAAGCGGCAGGCTCGGGGGGCTCGGGGAGGTCACCAGTAGCGTGCGACCAGAGGGTCTCGCCCCCCTGGACTTGACTCTCTAACAGACGGCGAGCGCGAAGAAGCCAGACGGAAAAGTCAAGAGGTCTACCGTCAGCGTCGAAACGAAGAACTCGCGGAGTCGCCATAGCGAGAACTAACGCGAACGAGCAGGCGAGTAACAGTAGGAGGTAAGAGGGAAATTAGGGTTCCGGTGGGGGGGGACTTAGTCGCAGCGGAAGAACGGGCTAGGGCGACGGGCCGGGGGAAAGGGCGGGCGCGATGCGACGGGGCAGGGCGACGCGACGGAGCAGAGGCGACGGGACGGGGAAGGGCGACGCGACGGGGCAGGGCGACGCGACGGGGCAGGGCGACGGGACGGGGCAGGGCAACGCGACGGGGCAGAGCGACGGGACGGGGAAGGGCGACGGGACGGGGCAGGGCGACGGGACGGGGCAGGGCGACGGGACGGGGAGACGGGACGGGACGGGGCAGGGCGACGGGACGGGGAGACGGGACGGGGAGACGGGACAGGGCGACGGGACGGGGAGACGGGACGGGACGGGGCAGGGCGACGGGACGGGGAGACGGGACGGGGAGACGGGACAGGGCGACGGGACGGGGAGACGGGACGGGACGGGGCAGGGCGACGGGACGGGGGGAAAGGGCGCGACGCGACGGGGGGAAAGGGCGCGACGCGACGGGGGGAAAGAGCGCGACGCGACGGGGGGAAAAGGGCGCGACTCGACGGGGGGAAAGGGATGCGACGAGGGGGAAAGGGCGGGTAGGACGCGACGCTAGGAGTGGCGCTAGGCGCGGCACTACGCGCGGTAACAACGGAACCGGGACGAATGAGAGCTAGGATCAGGCTCGGGAGGCTCGAACGGAGAACGGAGGAACGGGATCCCACAGGATCCTAACCTAACTGATACCATGTCAGAATGAAGAATGGATGGTGCATTGATGTTGGTTGGGGTACATATAGCTAACCCTAAGTTTTGTACCCCCTAAGACAAACCTCACTATAGGCTACAACATTTGACAGGTATTTGTACCCCAACCCAATCAATCAAACCATTCCGCTGTTTTCAGTTACTGAGATGGTATCAGCAGTAGGTTCGCCGTTCCTAGGCCACACCTAGCCTCCGCCGTTCTTAGACTTAGGCTGTGAGAGTACGACGGCTTGTGCCAGCCATGCATGCTTGCTTTTACTTTATTATGCTATTACTAGCTTAGGTTTATTTTATGCATGCATGAATTGCTTGATTTCCTAGGTTCGTTGCTTTACTATAGTTATTATAGTTATAGGCACCGAACCAGGTTACGTGTACCGAACTCAAGCTTATTCGGTTTCCACCGAATGGCTTTCTACCGAGTTTGGGAAGGTTCTGTTCGGGACGCTTCGCGACCCTCAGAACATTTGCGTAACACCTGGGTTACCTGCCTTGTGTCGAGACTATATATAGCCTCGTGTTGTACCCATGTGATCATTGAATTCAAACTCTCTATTCTGAGCTCGATCCTAGATCCTCACACTTGGTAATCAGAGCCCGTTTACACGCGAAAGTTTTTCGACCGCTAAAACCCAGTCTTCAATAACCGAGGGGGCGACGCAGTTAAACATCGATTTCGGGTACGTAAAACCGGTTCCGTGTTTTTCGCTCCCCCTCGTTTCGGTTTTTTCGGACGCGTAATGTCAGGCATGGAGGGCCAAGGCGACAACTATGCGACCACGAGCGACATCGCGAGCCTACGACGTCGCGAGCCTACGACGACATCACTGACATGGAGCAGACGCAGGCGGCGCTACGACGACTCGAGGCCCTTCTGACACACCAACCAGGAATCGCCACCGCAGCAGCAGCGAACGCAGCAGCGAACGTAGCAGCGACGGCACCAGCAGCAGTGGCGACACCGACATTTCACGGACCGATGGCACCACTGTCGCCGAACCTCGAAGCAGCACGACCGAGGCTCCCTGAAGCGTTCGATCCCAGCGATTTGTGGCGACCCTCGAAATCTACTTCGAGGCCATTGGCTGTTCGACCCCGACACACGACGCAGCAAGGATTCGGCTCGCAGCGACACTGTTACGTGGACCGGCACTCGAGTGAATTTATTACACTTACGTGGCCCGCGGGGAGAAAACGTGGGCGCAGTTTCGGGCAGACTTAATCGAACGTTTCGAACCGATTAATATGACCTACATGGCGCGGCAGCAGATACACCGACACAAGCAGTACAGTAGTGTAGCACAGTACACGCAGTACATGGAGCTACTTTTCAATCGCATCACCGACCTAACCGAAGGCGAAAAAATCCAGGCGTACACAGAAGGGTTAAAATTGGAGATTCGGCGGCAGGTGATTGCGGCGAATTACAACAATTATCGTGACATCGTGCGTGCTGCCGAGCGATACGACGCGTTGACTCGAGGTCAACCCGAAACACGACGTTTCGTGTCGAACCGTATATTCGGCACGGAGCGATCGGCACCCCCCACATTCGCCGAACCGATGGATATCGACAAATACGACGCGAAGCAGCAGCCGACAAAATGCGAGTTTTGCGGCGCAGCAGGGCATCAGTTTTTGTCGTGCTACAAAATGAAGAAGGCACGTGCGGCACTCCGGGACGGTAACAGTGGAGCACCCCCGAAGTAAAAAAACGGCAATCGCCAGTAGCCGCGGATCGACCTGGCGATCGCGTAAAGATCCAGAAAGCAGAAAAAGGCGACGACGTGGCGACTTCGGAGCGGGTGAAAAAAGGAGAAAATGATGGCGCGAATCTAAAACGTCACGACCGGCCGGCATCAGGGGAAATCGCCGAGGCGAATGGAGGCTCTACGAAAAAAGACTCTGCACCGACCGGGAAACTCCAGCCGAACACCCACAAAAGTAAGAATTCGTTAAAAGTATCCTATAAAGATACTCTAACGAAAAATATTGCTTCTTGTGGTTTTCAAGCCTTTCAAGGGAGATTTAGAGGCCAAGAAAAAGCCTTTAGAAATTATTCAGGTACCTGAGAAGTTGGGCAAAGTACTACGGAGCGTAGAAAAGGGTCGTGCGTTCCGTGGAGTTAATATTCTCTCCCCGCAGCACCGTGTTAAGGCTCCCCATTGCCCACAGGTGAAGCCTACACAGCTGCAAAGGCCTAGAGGACAATTCCAGGCTTAGGAGAAATTATACAAGCCTCGGAAAAATCCTCCTACCCCCCAGGTGAAGTTGGAAGCAAAGAGTGCTGAGTCAGGTATAGGAAATAGGGAAGGTATTCACTTTGATGTACCCTATGATCCTATTAATGAGACTCTCTTTGGCTACTCAGCGCAGCAGAAACCACTACTCCTCGAGGTGTTATGCAAAGGACGACGCCTCCAGGCACTGGTGGACAGCGGTGCATCTCACTCAGTGTGCGACCGGAGAAAATTGGAGAGAAGGCAGAGGAGACCAAGTTCACGGCAACGATGGTGGACGGTACGAAACTTCCCATCCACGGCGAAGCATCACTGCAGCTGCACATAGGGGCGCTAAGGTGGAAGCCGACGTTGCCAATCACGAACATCAAGGGTTTAAATTTCATCTTAGGGCGGGATTTCCTGAAGCGGTTCAACCTCGAGATCGATTGGGTCAACAGCAAGGTGTGCATCTACAACAACGGGAAGCGGATAGAGCTACGAAGCTGGACGGATACAGGGGACGTTCCTGAAACGACACTGGCACGGTTCGAACGGATGGTGAACGAGAGTAACACGGGTTACCTAGCACTGGTCATGGCAGCAGCAAAGGAGGGGAAGCCGAGTTCGGAGCTACCTGCAGCAGTGAAGGAGGTCTTGGAGCAGTACAAGGATATAATGCCCGACGACCTACCCGCAGGCGTACCTCCAGCACGCACCCACGAGCACGAGATCGTGGAGGAACCAGGTGCGAAACCCGTCTCACGTGCACCATACCGACTAAGTCCGACCGAACTGACAGACATGAAAAAACAGATCGAGTATTTACTGGACAGACAACTGATCCGACCATCCACCTCTCCCTACGGCGCACCAGTTCTCTTCACCCCAAAACCAGACGGCAGTCTACGGATGTGCATCGACTACCGCGCACTGAACAAACAGACAGTTAAAAACAAATATCCCATACCGCGCATCGACGATCTACTGGACCAACTACTTGGTGCAACAGTCTTTTCGAAGCTGGACCTACGGTCAGGTTACTGGCAGATCAAGATGGCGGACAACTCGATCCACAAAACAACGTTCCGTACCAGATACGGCTCCTACGAGTACTTAGTGATGCCATTCGGACTCTGCAACGCACCAGCAACGTTCCAGGCGGAGATGAACCATATCCTACGGCCCCTGCTGGACGAGTGCATAGTCGTGTACCTGGACGATATCCTCATCTACTCCAGCACGTGGAGCATCTACGGAAGGTGTTCGAGATCCTGCGGAAAACGAAGTTCTACGTGAAGCTGTCGAAGAGCGACTTCGCACTGAAGAAGGTGCAGTTTCTCGGGCACATGGTGAGTGCCGAGGGCGTACACGTGGACCCGCGGAAAATCGAAGCCGTCAAAAAGTGGAAAGTACCAGAAAACGTGAAGGAGTTGCAGCAGTTCCTAGGCTTTGCCAACTACTACAACAGGTTCGTGCCACAGTATGCTAAGATAGCAGCGCCACTGACTGACCTACTGAAAAAGGATACGCCCTTCAAATGGGATACTCCTCATCAGCAAGCCATGGAACAGCTACAGACAGCACTGACTACAGCGCCAGTACTCATCCTACCGGACCCAGACAAAGACTACGTGGTGGAAGCAGACGCTAGTGACCAAGCAGTCGGAGCAGTACTGATGCAGGACCACGGACACGGTTTACAGCATATCAATTACCTCAGTAAGAAGCTACACGGAGCAGAACTAAACTACCCCATCCACGACAAGGAAGCCTTAGCCATAGTCGTAGCCTTCAAGGCATGGAGGTGTTACCTAGAGGGAGCCAAGACTACAGTCTACACTGACCACTGCAGCCTCAAATACCTGAAGTCGCAGCCGACGCTCTCACGACGACAGGTGCGGTGGGTGGACTTCTTGGAGACCCACTTCCACTACGACATCGTCTACAAGCCCGGGCTACACAACAAAGCTGACGCGTTGAGCCGCCCCGGACATGTAGCAGGCATCCAGCTTGACGGGATGAACCCTCTTCTCAAGGGTCTATTCCAACATGGGTACTCCGTGGACGCAGAGATAGCAACGGCAGAGAAACAGAAGCTGTTACAGTGGGAGAAAGACTTAGCGGTAAGGAAGGGTTCAGGTTAGATTTGGGTACCGAATTACGGCCCGCTACGGCAGATCCTATTAGAGGAGTTTCACGACGTACCATACGCGGGACATTTCGGGAGCAACAAGACGTTAGCGGGAATAGCAAAATATTACTACTGGCCCAGGATGGCAGCAGACGTGCAGCAGTTCGTCATCTCGTGCGACACGTGCCAGCGAATGAAGAGTAGCAAGCAGAAAAAGGCAGGGTTACTTCAGCCTCTACCCGTACCGGAGCAGCCATGGCAGGTCGTTAGTCTCGACTTCATCACAGGACTTCCTTCGACCTCACGAGGGCACGATTCCATCCTCGTAGTGATCGATAAGTTCTCCAAAATGGGTCACTTCATCCCGACCAACGCCACAGCTACAGCTGAAGCAACTGCTCGACTCTTCTTCGACCGCATCATCACCATCCACGGCATCCCCGCTACACTCATCTCAGACAGAGACCAGAAATTCACAAGTAAGTTCTGGAAGGAGCTTATGGGACTGTTGGGGACTAAGCTTGCAATGTCTTCAGCATACCATCCCCAGACTGACGGACAGACGGAGCGACTCAATCAAGTGGTTGAACAGTTACTGCGCACAGCTTGCAAAGACGACATCAGCCACTGGGACACACAATTAGCGACCCTAGAG